CAATAGCATTAAAACTCAATGAGTTTCAATACTAACCTTTTGTCGCTCAAGTTTCTTTTTCTTCACGAATCGGTTTCGAACCACCACCAGTGTCTTCTCCACTATTCTCCGGCCTTAGAACGGGATTGGAACCAGTGAGTAACTAAACTTGGGAGGGATTTAGTATATATGAAGAGAGAGTTTGTGAGAGGCTTTTCTCAAGGTTTTTTTTACAAAAGCCAACCTTTCATGTACCATGATCACTCTATTTATAGAGCCATGCATGATTACCAAATTTTGACACTCAAAACTCCACTCAAATTTGTGGGGTTTATTTGGCAAGCATGCAAGTTGGGTTAAACCAAATTTTGACACCTCAAAATTCCACTAACATGAATTTTTCCGAAGTCAACATTTTGACTTTCTTCATTTTGATTCAACAATCAATTTGAATTATTAATTTCAAATTAAAGTAATATTAAATGATTAATTAAACTATTTAATTAATATTTAATATTAATTCATGTGCCTATCCCAATTAATTCCGACACATATTTGATTAAGATATTTAAATCTTATTTAAATATCTCAGATTCTCTCTTTTTGTTTAATTCGTAAATGAAACAAGTGCAGTTAAATATATCGTATATATGTAGCGCATTCTCCCTAATTTGAATTTGAACACTTCGAACTCACTCGTCACACTGTTTTATGGTTTAGTCCGATATGAGCTAGCAGAGGGACCTAATGGACCTATAGATCATGGGCTCCAACGATCCAAGATTAACCGGTTAAACTCATTAACCTTGTTAACCAACATTCATTAACTACTAGGACATTCCACTATAGCCTAGTAGTTGCACTCTCCTCACTATAGATATATTTATGTCCATTTGATATAATCATGATTAGTAAGTCGATCCTTCACAGGTTGTTCGTAACTAGAGCTAGGTCAATTTACCATTTTACCCCTGAAGTTACTTCTTGTTTCTTATGTCTCACTGATCCTCTAATGAACAATTGGTTTGTGGTCCAACCAGTAAACCGAATTCTTCTCAGGCCAATGAGAGGGTGGGGCCCTTTGTTCAAGACCTAGAGTCAGTACTTAAGAGAACTACCTCTCTTCTATTCTTAAAAGTGGGTAGCAGTGAATTCCATCTTACACCCCACGACTCCAGCAATTTACCCAGTCTTATCCCTGAAATGGGAGGCCTATTGAATTGGAGAACTTGAGCCACTCTCACCCATACAAATCTAAGGATAATTCCAAATAAAGAGGAGTTCATGGTTAGCTCAGGATTAAGATCGAGTTACCTAGGTCATCGAATGAAAAGAAAATCAGTCTCAACCGTAAACGACATTATAAAGTGAGAGTGATTTTCTTCATGGTCCGATCTTATGCAATACTTATTGCATAGGACGCCCCCACTCATATGTCTCCATATGTACAATTTAGTGATCGCATTGTTTATATCATATACAAAAGTGGGCCGCATCCATAGTGTCCCCAGAATAAGGTACTCAGCCTTATCTATAGATCATTTTGACTATATACTTGAACTTGATCAACTCTTATGCCTCTACATATAGTTCAAGTAATCATACTATAGCCAGAGTATTCTTAGTTTATTGAATTTAGATTAATGATCGTAAAGTTCACTTTATTCAATAACAATCTTTACTGAATAAACAACAATAATAACTTTATTGAAAATAGAATATTTTTTTTGTTTACAAACTATGAGTTGGACATAAAACCCAACAGGTGTTAGCTCTCCACCACCCCTGAGCCCTGTGGCCTAAGTGAGCTACTTTGTGGCACATACGTGTGTCACAGTGTGGGCGAGCGTGTCGAGACGAGTGTCTCGGGCGACTTCCTTTGAAATGGGTTTTTGAAGGACAGTACCGAACAACACGGGTGTGCCGGTATTATGCCCTTGCCTGCGTGTTGGAGGTTGCTACATACACCCGCTATCCGGTACGGTAACTATAAATGACTCGGCATAGGCACGGGAAGGTCAATGCCTCGATAGAACCCGGATGGATGAATGGATGTTCGGGAAGTCCCGATGAGATGAAAGACACGCGGGCCCATTCTTGATGGCATGATCGAGTGAGTTATGATGGCCGACGACATCCCAAGACTCAAGATAGCGTCAAGACATATGGACCCTGTCGATGGGGATTGAGATGGCAAGATGAGAAGCGACGTTGCATTGAGAGACCTTGGCCCGAGCAGAGCCAAGGTGAGCCAAGGTCAAGCCGAATGACTTGGCCTAGTGTAGAGGCAAGTTGAACGTATCACAGACGATTGAACATGCACGCATAGGCGGCGTGTGTGGTTGAACAAGCTTGGATTCCGCACATGCGATGTTCGATTGTTGAAGACAAACCTCGCCTAAGGTTCGACGAATCCACAAAGCCGGGGCGAAAAATATATATGGAGCTTAATTTCCCTTAAGGCTAGTCGTGAACGTGTCAAGATCATGACGCCGCACGGTAAAAAATATAGGACCGTGACACCCAGCAGGACTGCTCCAATCCTTAAAGGTCTATTAGTGGAAATGGAAGCAGTTTGCATGGATTTTATCTTGGGTTTGCCCAAGACCAAGCAGAGCTTCAACGTAATCTGGATAGTTGTTGATAGACTTACCAAAATGCCTCACTTCATCCCAGGAAAAACCTCTTATCGTGTGGATCAGTGGGCTCAGCTGTATATCAAAGAGATAGTACGTCTGCATGGCGTACCGGTGTCTATAGTATCTAATAAGGACTCTAGGTTCACCTCTCAATTTTAGAAAAGCCTCCAAAAAGCATTGGGGACTCAACTAAGGTTTAGTACAACATTTCATCCTCAGACAAACGAACAGACTGAAAGACTGAACCAAATCTTAGAAGATATGTTGCGAGCCTATGTCATGCATTTCGCTGGGTGCTGGGACGACCATCTACCTCTGATAGAGTTTGCTTACAATAATAGTTATCAAGCAACCATCTAGATGACCCCTTTTGAGGCACTGTATGGGCGTAGGTGTCGAACACCGGTATTTTGGGAAGTAGGCACGCAACAACTACTAGGACCAGAGTTGTTAAGGTCACCAACGCAGCAGTGCAGAAAATTAAGCAAAGAATCCTCACTGCACAGAGCCGATAGAAGATCTATGCAGATTTGTGAAGAAGGGACTTCGAGTTCGAGGTGGGTGACCATGTGTTCTTGAAGGTAGCCTCTATAAAGGGGGTGATGAGGTTTGCAAAGAAGGGAAAGTTAAGCCCAAGGTTTATAGGCCCTTTCGAGATTTTAGAGAGTTGAGGCCGTGGCTTATATGATTGCTCTACCACCAAACCTTGTCGCAGTTCATAACGTGTTCCACAGTCTATGCTTTAAAAGTAAACCCCAAACCCTACTCATGTGATTGAACACGAAACCCTTCCTCTTCTTGAAGATCTGTCCTATGAGGAAAGACCTAGTAGAATTCTAGCTTGAGAACTAGGTGACTACGCAATAAAGTTATCCCCTTGGTGAAAGTCGCATGGGGTAACCATCGAAACGAGGAGGCAACCTGGGAACAAGAAGATCATATAAGGAGAGCCTATCCCGAACTCTTCCAAGAGATACCAACTTTCGGGGACGAAATTTTCTAAGGATGGGAGAGTTTGTAATGCTCAAAAAAAAAAAAAAAAAAAAGTCGGTCAAAGTCAAAGGGGCAAAATGGACATTTTACCCCTCAGCCCATTATAGGGGTCTTGAGAATTATCCACAGAGAACCTGCAAAAGAGAAAAGTGTGAGAAAAAAGGTTGAGAGAAAACTTGAGAGTGAAAAGTAAATAGCTGGAGTCCTTGCCGTAGAATCACCAACGAAATTCATCCTCTACTGAGACTTACACTTTGGAGTTTTTCTTGGAGAGAAGAAAAACTCGTGTTGTTGAGATTCCTTCTTTCGTCAATATCCGAGAGAAATCCACAAGGTAAGATCTCGAACGTTACTCTTCAGATCTAAGATCTTCGTTTGGGAATAGAGTGTTAAAGTTTACTATCTTTATCTAGGGAAGGTCCGCCACTGATTTTGTGAGGAAATCAGACGAAACGTCGAGATCCGAGAACCTTTCCAAGAATGGTAAGGATGTTATCGAACTTCTTTTCGACGCTCATAACTTGTCGTATGATTAAGTACAAATCAAGAAAAAAATATTGGCACGTATGTTGAAGTATGATCTAAAACTTTTTTGAAGAAGGCATTACGGTTTGGATTAAGAATCGAGAGATAAAAAAATGAGAAGAATGTTGGAAAACTAATCGAAAACCTTATTTTTCTACTAGGAAGAGAGATAAGCCGATGACGTGCCACGTGTCAACTGGCAAGAGGACCACGTGCTCCGACGACCACTGGACACGTGTCGAATGCTGCTTGGGAAGACGCGGCTCTAGCCTTCCAGCGACACGCAACCCGACTCGCGTCCCTCGGCTGACTTGGTACCCACGCGGCAAAATGAACCGCCACAACCCGTGGTCCACTCAAACCACTGCACTCGAATCGAACCGATGACCCGCGGCTGCAGAAAATCTTGGGCGCGTGACACTCGCACGTGGAACTTGAGAGTGATTTCGTCCCGATGCATGGAAGCGCGTGTAAGCTCGTTTTCATCCTGTTCGACTGCTATTTTTCCTATTTTCCTCCCGATTCCAATCCTAACTCTATTTTATATGAAATAGGACCTAATTGAGGAAAAATCACTACCTTTCGATACGCCAATTGTGTGGAAACGCTGCGTAAGGGCACACATCATCCAAGTAAGTCACCACATAGAACTTTAGAAAGAAATACTTGTAGAAGTCGCTTGGAATGCATGCATGCTAGTATGATTATCTTAGGTGGTAGCCTTCCGTGATTGAAGGTAGGTATTTGATTATTAAAAGTAAGATGTATTGTGTGAAATATTATGAGAATTACCTGAGTATTGCTGTTATGCTTCAAGTTTCCGTTTATTATGTATATGTTTATTTCATGCTGAAAGAAGGATAGGAACTTGTGAACTCTGCGCTCCGGGAGTTGATGGATGTGATCGCCTTGTTGAGCTTGTATGTTTACTTTGCATGAAATATGTATGATGATGTTGGATGATAGTATTGTGCATACTCAGTTAATTTTCATGACCCACATTTATGATTAAGTCTAGGGATTCATGGTTAGAGTAACAAGACACTAAGTATAGACCCAACCTTTCCCCTAGGAGCATAAGAAACTACCACGGTAAACAAACTACCTCTAGAGAACCCTTAGGTTAATTGTGTGCGATTGGTGTTAATGCTTCGTGGGAGACCAGGGGGTTCCTGATCAGGACTCGTCTGCTCTAAAGCTATTTTAGCATGGGAAACGAATACCCATGTTGAAACGGACCATTTAGCTGGATGAGAATGGGGGAGGTAGCCCTGGGATTATCATGGGACTAGGGGGTTGCAGCTCACTTCCTCGATATGACACCAGGTAGTCTCATTGCCATGCCGAGGTAGCTACTCGTTGAGTACCAGTCAAACATAGGTTGGCGTAATGGAACTCTTAAGGTTTAAATGATAGGTTGAAGTACCAAAGAAGCCCCAAGGAGCTAAGACCTGGATTAGATTTTCTAGAGTCAAAGAATAAGATCATGGAAGTTTGTCAAAATTGGGATGTGATAAGAGCCTACAAGTAGGTGGCTTACTGAGTATAATTTTATACTCATTCTTGCTATACCTTTCTTTTTCAGGTACGTGAGGCAATGGGTCAAGAGAGGGCGCGTTGAACGATGTGGACTGTCACAGAGGGAGCGTGTCTCGGGGCGTCAGTCTGGTATTACTGATTAGTACACTTTTCTTTCATGTTTCTTTCCTTGTTTATAGCTAGTCACATATGTCCTCTTTGTATTGAAATGCTTTCCTTAGGAAATAAATGATTCTTTTTTTTTTTTTTTTTTGAAATAATGTTTTCCTTTGAATTTCTTGCATACACACTACACATCATAGTCATTGTTAGTCACGACTTGAGATTATTTTTTCTTTTGGGTAGTGACACTTTGACTGCATTGCCTGGAATGCGTGAAGCCTTGAGCATAGGTATTCAGACTGTATCATAAGGCAAGCCCTTGATGCAGGATTAGACTACATCGTTTGGAACGTAAGAAGCCTTGGATGTAGGTTTTTAGACTATGTCGCTTGGAACGCATGAAGCCTTGAGCATATGTTAAGTTGATGGTATCAAAGGGCAAGCCTTAAGATACGGGTTAAGACTACGTCGCTTGGAATGCATGAAGCCTTGGATGTAGGTTAAGGCTGTGTCGCTTGGAACGCATGAAGCCTTGGACACAGATTGTCAGGTGCATGGGTAGTGCCGTAAATCCTAGGGGAGTGTCTTGGAGAAAGAGTCAAGAATAGAACAAGAACCTAGAAAGTACCAAGAATAAGAGAAAGATCAAGGACTAGAACATGGATCAAGATTCTAGTTCTAAGGACAAGAACCAAGAACATAGGACCAAGAACTAAGAACCATAGTACTAAGGCCCTTAAAGGAAACCAAAGTTTTAAAATCCAAGGACCTCAAAAAAGATCAAGATAAGAACCCCAAGTTAAGAACAAGAATTAGAGGGCCTTTGCAACAAGAAGAAGACAAGAACAAAGAATGTGGTACACTAGCATATTAAAGACAGGATTAAGAGCCTACAAGTAGGCTACTTATGAAGTCGTGTACTCATTCCTTATTCTCCATTTTTTTTTCAGGCGATAAGGAGCTGGTCGAAGTTGGCAGTGGACTTTGGAGCAGGTGCCATCCCCCATCATTCTCGACTCTTTTGTTTTAAAATGTTATGTGTCCATTTTTTTTCCGTATTTTAACCATTATGTTGTACTTTAAATTACTAATGTACCCACATAATTTTGTTATAATATAAATTAAGTTTTAAATTTCAATTTTCTTTATTTCGTGAAAAATTTATCCGTCTTTTAGAGTTATCGAGTCAACCCAGTCCTTACAAGGTGTATGTTGTGGAGCCTTATTTTCATTTATGGATTAAGTTTATACCTAAAAGTTAAAAACAAAACTTTAAGTAATACGAACAAATATTTTATAAGATAAAATCGTAAGCAAATGAACTATTTTATTTGTAACTCCTAAAGTTCATTAATAATATAAACTCCTAATTGTTGTGGAGCTTTCCATCTCGGTATCTCAACATATATTTTAATTTCTTGAGTTCTACTTAGATCATTTGTTTTCATTTAGATGATGAATATTTATTTTAATTTGATATGGAGAAATTTTAATTTTGAAAACAAATATGTGATTATAGTGTTCGTTAAAATAAAAATCAGTTAACCTCCATTAAAGCTGGAAGATTTTAAATGAGTTGAAATTAAAAAGAAAAAAAAGGAGAAAATAATAGATTAACGAACCAACAAAAAGAAAACACGTTGAAAAAAAACTACCATTGTTTTTTTTTTTTTGCAATCTCAATTATTAGTTTGGTGATATTTTTTTGAAAAAATAAAAGTCAACTATTCATTAATTTTTAAAATTTAGAGACTAAATTAAATGTTTTCAAAAAAGAAAAAGATAATTAAAAAAGAAAAAAGGGCGACGGCATAATGATGTGAGGACAGAGCGACACGGTTTAGTTATTTCAAGGAACCAGCAGCTGCTCACATGAACATGGACTTCTTTCCCTCTTTCAACACAAATCCATTATATTATGATCTTAAATTTCCCCGAAAATTCACTCTAATTTCGCCTGTGATGAACACTGAATTCGCGGCAAACAAACCAAGAAACAATCTCCCCATTTACTTTCATATTTACCACTTCTCTACTGTGCATAATGGGTCGCTGTACTTTTCACAAAGAAAGCGAAAGCTCCATTAAATTATCCACTTCCCCTCGCTCTCTCTTCACATTCGGCTCTCCTCTCTCCCAATTCAATCCAAGGGGACCCCAAAATAAGCTCGTTCTTGGTGGGTTTTAAAGGATTGAAATTAATTCGAGAAAGCGGGGGTGAATTTGTGGGTTGTGCGATGGAGTCGAAGGCTCTGCGATTCATCACCCATCAGTCGTTCTTCTCTGTCGTCCGATCTGGGGACCTTGAGGCTGTCAAACAGGCCTTGGATAAGCTCGCCGGAGATGAACAGGCCGAGGCTTCTTCGATTACCGATCTGATGGCGATGCAGAACGATGCTGGAGAGACGCCTTTGTACGTGGCTGCTCATAATAATCTCCACGAGGTTTTTACCTATTTGCTTCAATTTTCCACTCTCCAAATCCTGAAAATTAGGTCCAAATCTGATATGAACCCTTTCCATGTTGCTGCTAAGCGTGGTCACCTAGGTACCGCTCTCAACTTTAGCTTCTACTGATGAATCTTGCTTTAAATTAGTATCAATTGGAGGGTTTTTTCTCAAAAGATCTTGAGAGTTGAACTTTCACCTTGTTTCAGGGATTGTAAGGGAGGTTTTGGGGATATGGCCGGAGCTTTGCCGGTCATGTGACTCCTCAAACACGAGCCCCCTGTATTCAGCTGCTGTACAGGACCATTTGGAAGTAGTTGATGCTATCTTAGATGCGGATGTGAGTACAATGAGAATAGTAAGAAAGAATGGAAAGACAGCTCTGCATAATGTAGCTAGGTATGGCCTACTTCGAATCGTTAAAACGCTTATCGATCGTGATCCTGGAATAGTAGCCATTAAAGACAAGAAGTCCCAGACTGCACTTCATATGGCTGTGAAAGGTCAGAGCACTGAAGCGGTCAAGGAGCTATTGCATGTCGATGCGTTGGTACTCAACGAACGTGACAAGATGGGAAACACCGCGTTGCATATAGCTACTAGAAAGTGTCGCTCTGAGGTGTGATACATTTAAATTGCTAAGTTTATATTAGAAATGGGTAGCACATAACATATGATTCATGACCTGTTGGTTGTTTCTCAGATTGTAAGCCTTTTGCTGAGTTTTACATCGCTTGATGTCAATGCAATCAATAGTCAAGGGGAAACCGCTATGGACTTGGCTGATAAACTGCAATACAGCGAATCTTCACTGGAGATTAAAGAAGCATTGGAGGAAGCTGGGGCCAAATATGCAAGGCATGTTGGCCAAGTTGATGAAGCAATGGAGCTCAAGCGGACAGTAAGCGATATCAAACACGAGGTTCACTCGCAGCTTATCCAAAACGAAAAAACGCGTCACAGAGTTTCTGGGATTGTGAAAGAGCTGAAGAAGCTCCACAGGGAGGCTGTTCAGAATACCACAAATTCCATCACCGTTGTGGCTGTTCTTTTTGCATCCATTGCATTCCTGGCTATCTTCAATTTGCCTGGTCAGTATCTACAAAACGGTAAAGACGTGGGGAAGGCAAATATAGCTGATAACATGGGTTTCCAAGTATTCTGCCTTCTAAACACTATATCTCTGTTTATATCTTTAGCTGTTGTGGTGGTTCAAATTACTTTAGTAGCATGGGACACAACAGCTCAAAAGCAGGTCGTATCGGTCGTGAACAAGCTAATGTGGGCTGCCTGTGCTTGCACCTCTGGTGCTTTCATATCAATAGCTTATGTTGTCGTAGGGCACGAGACATGGATGGCTCTCGCCATTACCCTTGTCGGAGTTCCAATTCTTGTTGCAACTCTTGCAACCATGTGCTACTTGGTTTTTCGACAACATTTTGGTATCTTTCGCAGTGATTCTCAAAGACGAATCAGACGAGCAAGTGGAAGCAAGTCATTCTCATGGCCTCACTCTGTAAACATATCTGATGATGGTGATTACAACTCTGACCTCGAGAAGATATATGCCTTATAGACGTCATTTCTCAGAAGCTTGAAAGGATGGTTTCCTGCACATAGTTATATAGATATATTGTAATGTAGATCTAGAAGGCTACCTCCTCATGTTTGGTAGGGTAGGCTCGATTGTCTACAAGTATATATGTTTGCGTAATGCAATAGAGGTTGGTATTTTCCACGGTTTCGAGTTCGAAGAGTACGTTTGATTGTATATTTATTAGGAAAGCTGCAGAAGTTTGAACACTTTGTTCAATAAAGTCTCTTATCTTTGCATTATCCCTCTTCGCTTACACCTTTGAATCTGAATCTAAAACATTAATCTTGATTCAGATAATTTTTTAGGTAAAGATGATATGAATCCAACCACTAGTACCCGAAGAAGCAATTACAAGAAGTTTAAGTATCAAATCAAGAAAATAATGAAGTGACAATAAATACCACCTGATATTGGAAATTGATTAGAAGACTTTTTTCCATTTTTATATAATAGCTGTTATGGGTAGTTTGTAGTTGGTAGTTGAACTACATTTATGTTTTGATTATCTTGTTGGCCTATTTAAAGACATAATATTCAAGTTTAAAAATATTATTGAATACAAAAATGGTGTGTTTTCTTGAAACCCTATGGGTATTATTTTCAAACCTTGCTTTAGGTCTGAAGTAAAAATCGATTTATTGAATTAGTCAAGATCAAGCTAATTCTGGAGTAAGTCGTCTTAGGATCTAAGAGTGACCATCATAGACTCTAAGTTCGATCTCCGAGTTATTCATCCTTCTAATTAGCTCTTGATTGGAATCATTTGTAAGTTAGCTTTATTGGTGAAATTTTGCAAAGATCCTAAAACAACCTCTAGCTTTGCAAAAATCCAGCATGATTGGCACTTATTAGAAGAACTCGCACATTTAAAAATGTTCAACCTTCATATATAAGCCATAATAAATAGGAAGAGAATAGTTGAAATAGATTAATGAAATATAAACTGAACACATTGACCACAAAGATATTCATAATTGCTGCTACAGATCAAAGTAGTCTCAGACAGAATAAGCACAGCAGAGATCAGGCAGTATGAACACAAAGAAGGGGAAACAAGAAAAGGCTAACAAGTTTAAACCAGAATGAAGCAGGATCACGACGTGATCTATAATATACATACCAGGAATTCACAGCATCGTTTCATCTTCAGCATTAAACGGGTTCACAATTTTTTAGAATGTTGTACTTGCACAGAGGACATGTTGCATTCATCTTCAGCCATTTTGTGATACACGCATAATGAAAATGGTGATTGCATGGAAGAGCATGAAGCTCGGCTCCGTCCTCGTAAGGACTAAGGCATATACAGCACTCCTACAACAAAGATCATAAAGATGATTAAGGATTTAGAAAGAAAACTGATTCAACCAAGAGGAGAAAGATCATTTCTGAATAACAATAAACGAGTTCACTTTACCGCATCCTCGCGTAATAGAACACGCTCAGTCGTTAAGTTTCTGCTGCTAGATTCGACGGGAACCATCAAACCATCCCCGGAAGAAGGCTCATTGGACACTTGATATCTATACTTAGGAAGCATACTTAAATCAGCATCGGTTGCACCTTCCTGTTGAGATGTGAGGGGGAAAGGAAGGAAGGAAAGAAAGAAGTTAGCAGGTTTCATGGGGCCTGAATTTGGCTAACATCTCTGTGTGGCAGCCATGAAACAGGGATTTCCTCTTACCTGGCCTGCAACAGCATAAAGAATAGCTATAATGCAAGGCAAGCAGCAACAGAGAGCAATTCCAATCAAACATGCCAAAACAACACAAAAGATGGCAAAGAACACATCAAATGCCAGAAATACCACAGCCAACCTGCATAAACTCAGAATTAGAAACAGATAAATGATGCATGTCCCCCCCACCAACCAGAATCACGATGGTTCAAAATCATACCAGTATAAAGATGGAGCATTCTGCATTAGGATGTTACCCCCAGCCACGACCCAGTAAAAGCCAAACAACCACCAAATTAACGATATCAGGGTGTTCACTGACTCGCATCTTTTGGCAACACTGCTCATCCACCACCAAGTCAATTACATGGTAATGACTTATAAATCATCAAATCAGGAATCTATAACTGATCCTGACCAATTTTACTCACTCATTCATTCAATCAATACAACATTTAAAATCAGAAAAGCTATCCACTGCCTTGTAATTCAATCAAAACCAAGTTCAGACCCATATCAAATTTCAGTAAAACTAAGCAATGTTTGAGTTGACGACGGTCACAACTTTATATAGCAGAGAGAATTGAAGTTTTACTCACCCGGAGAGATTCCAGGGGGTACCATCTTCTTCATCGCTTTCATTAGCTACATATGCATTATGCTGCATCTCCATATCCCTAGCCCTCCTCGCATTCCTCCTTCTGAATTCAAACCACACAAGCACAGCGTGCACCAAGCATTGAGCCGCATAAACGACAATCCAAAGCCGAATTGGCGTGTTAGGTTTTTCATCGGCCGAGTGAATAAGCACACCCAGAGAAACGAAAACGAAAGCCAAATTCCACATAATGTCAAGAGCCACCACCGGCTTGGAATACCCCCAATCGATGCGGCGCTCTTCAAGTTCACGCGCCGCTGTCTCCCGGACCACCATAGAAGTTCCACGGCGGCCAGTGGCGTGAGCGAAGAGAACAGCGAGGGGGCCGATGGGGGAAGTGGAGGCGTCAGAGTTAGAGGGAGGACGGGAGGGTAAGAGAGGGATCTGTTGGGCAGGCGCCTCCATGGAAGGAGAAGACATTGGTCGCCGGTGAGGATTTGATTGAATGAAATTAGAAGGGTTATGAATTGGGGGCGTCTTGATTGAGAAGGAGAATCTTCTGCTGCTGGTTCGTGGGTTTAGAAATTGATGGAAAGTTCATGATCCCAGGGAGTATCTCGTCCATTCTTCACTTTGCTGATTCCAAAATTTCAATCCTGCCTTCTTCTTCTCCCCTCTCTCTCCCCATTCTCATCCTTTCTTTTTCCCTACGAAGGTTAATTTTTAGAATAATTTATATCAAAACAAAATGCTAATAATAAATAAATAAATAAATCCATTAAAATTTTGAAATCTATTCACCAAATAAAAACTAAACTCCCAGATGATTACGTTGATTGAGGGATTTCAATCAACTATAATGGAATCTTATTTGTAAATGGGAATCTTATTTGTAAAGAATTAACTGAAGAACAAGTATCTTCTCCCTAGTATTGAGAATTTCTAGTAATGTCATTTGAACTAATAAAGGTATTGATAGTATTAATGGAATTGATGAATTGAGTATTCAAGAAGTGATTGTGTTCATAAATGACACCCTAGTCTACTCTAAGATCAACAAGGATCACGAGATATATCTCCACATAATTTTGATCATCACGAAGGAGAATAGTTGGTATGCTAAGTTTTCAAAATGCGAGTTTTACCTACTACAAATGGTGTCAAAGGATGGAATCTCTATGAACCCAACTAATGTGAAAGACATGTCCTACCAAAGTTTCTTGGGCTTGATAGGTTATTACAAGTGATTTGACGAGATTTATTCAAGATATTCTCACCACTAACCTAGTTGACTCAGAAGAGTAGTTTCTTTGTGCAAGACAAGCTTTTAGGATCTTAAACACATGCTAGTGACAACCCCAATACTCACCGAGTCAATTGGGGAAGGTTTTGTGGACTACAATGATGCCTCTAAAAAAGGAGTGGGTATGTGCTAATGTACCATGGAAAGGTTGTTGTGTATACTTCTGAAATATTATGAGCAGAACTACCTTTCCTATGATTTTTATTAGTTGTAATGAGAAGACATAAATCTTCATAGGATCGCAAGAGCCTAAAGTATTTCCTCACTTAAAGCTAAACACGAGGCAACAAGGTTCGTTACAACTAGTAAAGGACTATGAACCACATGGATAAGGTGAATGTAGTACCCTATGTAGGAAGATGACCCACTCATTTGTGTTGATCACTAAATAATCATAAATAAAGTTAATTTGATTTAAGCCGAGGTAACAATAATGGTTGAGAAGGTCGTAGCTCATATGGCTTAACCTACAGTTGATCCAATCATGAGGCAGTGAATCCCTCTACATTCAACTGAATATTCGAGGGTGTTGTTACCTACAGCATTGGTGTAGTTAGGTAGAGCAAATACATTGTTAATTACCTCTGCATCAAAACTGACGCCTCGAACTACTATTACTACTACACTATGGTCACTATTTCCCAAATTGGTATAACACTCTAGTACACAATCAGCTAGCACAGATTCTCTTTCCAGGAAAAATATTTCCAGCTCATCCCCATTACCGTTGGCATGTTGTGGCTTGGTATGTTGATTATGTCTCCCCAGCAACCAGCAACCCTTATTCAGTAGAAACGCTCGCTCCTCTCTGCTTCTTTGCTGCCACTAAGGTCAGCTGGTGGTGACTCGGACTCAGAAGGTTCTGACGAGTCATGATCCCTTGAGGGTTCTCGTGCTTTCTTCTGGCTATCCCACAATTCAGATATGTCGGAAGGAAAAAAAAAAATAATCGGAGAGCTTCCTAAACTTTCTCCTCAAGGTTAAAAACAATATTAACAATTCTCCCTATTTGAAGTACAAAGTTTGGTCCACCGCCAAGTGACGTATGATCGAGCCTCTAGTCTCGATTTTAAAAGAAGGTTTTAGAAAGGTTTTAGAAAAGAGGGTAGAGAGAGATTTTTGAAAGAGACGTTCTATAAGCAAGCAAGAGAGAGATAACAACGGCTTACTAATCGAGCTCCATTTGATCTCGCAGAAGCGGAAGCTGAATCAGTTGCCGGCTATAATGTAGAAAGTCTACTAACAATTCTCCAATTCTCCAAAGGTTACTAAGTTAGTAACCGGTTGTACTAAGTTACAATTCTCCTAAAGTTACTATATAAGTTATTAACTTGTTCAACTAGCTCAAGTTTATTATATATAAGTTATTAACTTGTTCAACTAGCTCAAGTTTATTATATATAAGTTATTAACTTGTTCAACTAGCTCAAGTTTATTATATATAAGTTATTAACTTGTTCAACTAGCTCAAGTTTATTATATATAAGTTATTAACTTGTTCAACTAGCTCAAGTTTATTATATATAAGTTATTAACTTGTTCAACTAGCTCAAGTTTATTATATATAAGTTATTAACTTGTTCAACTAGCTCAAGTTTATTATATATAAGTTTTAACTTGTTCAACTAGCTCAAGTTTATTAGCTAACAATCTCCTTCGTAAATTTGATTTTGTTCGAGATTCTTCACTCCCCCGCATTTCTGCAAACTGAACCCTTGCTAGGGTCTTGGTTAAAATATATGCATGTTGCTCTCTAGTGCATATGAACTCCAAAATAATTTATCTTCTCAAAACACTCACGGATGAAGTGGAAGCGAGTGTATGTGTTTGCTGCGTCTGTGAAATACCGGATTCTTCATGAGTGCAATTGCATATTTGTTGTCAACGTAAAGAGTTGCCAACTTTAGTTCAATTCTAGTCACTTCGCTCAACAAATTTCTCAACCACAATTCTTGCACGATTTTGCAGTTGCTGCCATGAACTCGGCCTCGTAGGAAGATAGTACCACAGTTCAATTCTAGTAATATTTTCTTTGGTCCACTTCAATATCGAGGTAGTACGTGAATAACCCGAGATCATTCATCTCAAATTCTTTCATCTTTGCTGCTTGAATTCTTTGACGCCTTCCACACTTATACCAGTGACGATCAGGTCATCAATGTACACGCCAAGTATGAGTGTTTTAGTTTCATTGTTTCTTGTATACACTGCTTGTTCTTGCGAGCATTTCATGAAGTTTCGACTCTTTAAGCTCTTGTCCAGCCGTAGGTTTGATACCCTTGATGCTTGTCGTAAACCGCAAAGGGCCTTTGACAACTTGTACACTTCGTGCTCTTCAGCTTTGTGCACATGGTCGATCAAGATGCGTATCAACTTACAGACACAACGTGAGTAACGGGTACTAGAGCGCTACACTCCCCTCCTTTCCACTTTTTATCGTTGTCACTTTTTCGGTGACTTTGTTGGTGACAATATTTGTTTCGATGTTCTAACTTTGATACTTGGAACAAAGGGATCTTAACTTTTCAATTCTCTTTTGTTATTGTGAAAAAAAAAAACATTTTCTCATGAGTATTTATAGTGGAGAAAATACTAACTTGCTGTTTAAATTAAGAACTATGAACAATTCTTCCTAATTAAAGCAAAAAACTTGGTCCACACCCACAAAATTTTATCCAAAATTTGGTAACTACTACCAATTCTCCTATAGTTCTACCAAGTCTATTAATCATTCTCCTAAATTACTCCATAAGTTAGTAACTTGTTGTACTAAGTCTACTAACAATTCTCCTGAGTTAATATATAAGTTAGTAACTTGTTCAACTAGCTCAAGTTTATTAGGTCATAGATGATTCATCACGAGAGGTTTAATCTTGGGTGTCTCGAGGCATGATCTTGGGTGTCTCGAGGCATTTGCACCTGAATGGGGATTGAGTCTCTTCTGCTTTAGCATGAGCAGCCTTTCTAGGGGACCTCTTTGATTTTGACTTACCAATGAGAACTTACTTAGGTACGGCGGAGAAATGGGAGTTGAGAAGTAGAAATCTAAGAAATTTTGAAAGTTTTGGAGTGTCGTTGTATCACCCCTAATCCTCTCTTTTTCTAGAATATTTTCTATTTCATGATTGGACATTTGTGCTAGTCTGTTTGTTTACGGATGATATGGTATGGCGACTTTATGTTTAACATTGTACCTTTTGAGCAAAATGTTCATAACTTTATATTTAACCTCTTAAATCAGGAGGTTTTAACTTTTCAATTATTTCAATCTTTGCTTTATCCAACTCTATCCCTCATCTTGAAGCTTGTGCCCTAAAACATACCTTTTGTTACCATGAAATGACATTTCTTTCAGGTGTGCACCAAATGTTTCTCTATGCACATCATCTGTGACACTATTCCTAAATAAGTTAAAATGATTCTCCATAAATTGAGAAGTCATCCAGGAATACTTCCACAATTTTCTCCATCATGCCTCTAAAGATCGCCCATTTTAGCAAGTTGTTGAAGCTTGACACATTCCAATGACATCCTTCTAAAAGCTCAAAAGATTCCCTATAACTCAAGAATTCATACATGAATATTTCTATATTTTGGTCAAGATCCCCCCTCATGCTTTTTTTTAAAGGTTGCTAAAGCGTTACACAGCCTGAATGACATCCTTCTAAAAGCAAAAGTTCTATATAGGCATGTGAACGTTGTTTTTTTTTTAATGCACCAAACATATAGTGATTTGATTATATCCTGAATATCCATTCAAAAATTAATAATGTACATGTGCCTTCCATGCTACTCAATCCAACATTTGATCCATGAAAGGTAATGCAAGTAACATTTTCATTTTTTTTATGTCAATGATGTTCTTATGAGTCATCTATCAAATTCTCTTCTTTAGAGTAAGTTGTCTAGTCCTCTACTTGATAATACTTTCTATTTTCTTTTCTAAGGCAAAAAAATTTCTCCTATCTTTTGGATATTTGAGGCAAGCATTCATGTTAATCATTCATAATGTAATTGTGCCCCTTATATACATCTACTAAGGTTTTGATCACGAGTAAGAAATCGGAGGGAAAAATAAATTTGCCTACAAGAATCAATATATCTTCCATTTTAGGGTTTAGGGTTTATAATCTTTTTGTGCTAATCAAGGACTTATCTTAGTTTCTTGGATAATGAGCGAGACCATGGAGTCAAACTAGTAGCTATTTTGAATGTGCCCCTAGATCACACCCCATGAAAGTTCGAGAAGGTCACATGATCACTGCAAAACATGGACATGACATCCTACAAGAATCATGGCTAGGGATCCCCTAAAATAGTGTAAGGCATCTCATCTAGGTGAGGGAAAACATGAGGCTTGAACCTAACATCTTGTGAAGAAAAATATGATGTAGGACATGCCTCAGGAAGCACCGCGTG